GGTGGTGTCTGGTTGTTCCATTTATGATCCAGCTCCCTGCTAATGACCTGGGAAAAGTGGCAGAAGATAGCCCAGGTGTTTGGGCTTCTGACACCCAAGTGGGGACTCACTCCTGGCTCCTGGTTTTGGCCTGGCCCAGCCCTGGCCGTTGTGGCCATCTGGAGAGTGAACCCGCAGATGGAAGATCTCTCTCTCTCCCTCCCGCTCCCTCCCTCTCTCTGTAACTCTGACATTTAAATAAATAATCTTAAAAAGAATAGGTTGATTTTATTCATCTTGTATTCTCTACAAGGGTGTACCCTCTACAAAGTCTTTGTAGCTAACAAAATGCCTTACACATAGAAACCCAATACAAATTTTGTAAACTGTGATAACAATTCTATCTCTGTGACCAAAATAATGTTTCAGAGTATTGAAACCATCTCAACCACAAAGCAGATGGCTATGTTATAAGGAAATATCTATATCACAGGTTGGGAAAGACATATTAAATTCCAGCCAAGATTCTTCTAGGTGCATTGCGTAGGTGCAGTCCCTTTTTGTGAGTTATTTCTCCATAGAATCACTAATCTTATAGTGAGTGCAACATATGATTCATGAGATTTACTTGCATGTGTACCTTTGTGGTCTCAATTCATGCTGTACATGAATACATTTAACTCAAGGCCTGTTCATTGATTTATGTGGATATCACATTCAAATCAGAAGTGATGTGACAGGTATGTAGGTATCTGGAACCCTCTGGTTGAGTTCCTGGCTCCTGGCTTCAGCCTGGCCTAGCTCTGGCTGTTGTAGGTGTTTGTAGAATGAACCAGCTAATGAAAAAATCTCTCTCTCTCTCTCTCTCTCTGTTTCTCCCTCTTTCTGTCACAAATAAATCTTTTGAAAAAAAAATCAGAAGTAGAGTTGAACAGGAAGAAGAAAATAAAGGGGCAATTATTGGTGGAAATGACAGTAACAATCATGAATGACATTGTCACACTGCCTAGTAAAAGAATCTGTGACTGGAGGCCTTAATATCAGAGTTCTGCATTCAGATATAGCAATTTAATTAAATAATAAATTGGTCCCTCATTATGTTAATTTATTTATTCTTTATAATCACTTTCTGATGGAGGCATTACTACCCATTTTACAGACAGTGAAACTAAGGATCAGTGGGGCAGGGGAAAGGGGCACGTTTCCCGATGTTTGACAGCCTGCAAGTACCATGCTCTCTCTATATACTGTGACATCTGAATTTTAAGCATTTATTGAGTTAGGAGACTTAAAAAACAAACACAGCAAAAAACCCTTGTGAGCACTCTGTGTTGTTCAGAAGTTGCTGTTTCTCTAAGGTCCTGCAAGTCTTTTAGCTTTGCTTCCCTGAACTTTGTGTTTTGAGTCGCACATCAAGTCACAGCGGTGTTCAAATGCCGAAGCCACAGGAGCAGCAGCGGGCAGTACCGCTTTGGGTGGGTCTACTCATACTCCTCTGACATGCCTGGCCAGGCTGCTGTTCACGTGAAACAATGCTGGGCAAGACCAGAGATATTTAGGTTTGCCGACGCAAGTCATTTCTCCCTGATTAATGCAGGTTTAATGTCCAAGGTTATAAACTGCTGAGAGTTGGATAGGAAAAAAGCTAATCTAAGCACTCTGTGCTCAACAAAATGTAAGCAGCTCTGCTTTTGACCTCTGACTGGAAGTGAGATGGACTCCACATGGTTCTGTCCTGTTATTCTAGACAATTAGCTTCCCTCTCTGAACCACAGTTTCTTATGTATAAAATAGGTGGAATAAAGCTTTCCTCAGAGAAGTGCTGAGATTAGAGATCATGTGTAAAAAGAACCAAATGCATCAGAGAGCCTCACAAAAAGAGATAGATATTATGATTGTTACTATTACTGCCATAATAAGAATATCATTATTTTAATGTACTAGTAACATCTCCCACTAGGTGGAATGTTTTTTTTTTAAATTTTATTTAATGAATATAAATTTACAAAGTACAGCTTATGGATTACAATAGCTTCCCCCCCCCATAACGTCTCTCCCACCCGCAACCCTCCCCTTTCCCACTCCCTCTCCCCTTCCATTCACATCAAGATTCATTTTCATTTCTCTTTATATACAGAAGATCAGTTTAGCATACCTTAAGTAAAGATTTCAACAGTTTGCTCCCATACAGAAACATAAAGTGAAAAATACTGTTTGAGTACTAGTTATAGCATGAAATCTCAATGTACAGCACACTGAGGACAAAGATCCTACATGAGGAGTAAGTGCACAGTGACTGCTGTTGTTGACTTAACAAATTGACACTCTTGTTTATGGCATCAGTAATCACCCTAGGCTCTTGTCATGAGCTGCCAAGGCTATGGAAGCCCCCTGAGTTCACTGACTCTGATCATATTTAGACAAGGCCATGGTCAAAGTGGAAGTTCTCTCCTCCCTTCAGAGAAAGGTACCTCCTTCTTTGATGACCTGTTCTTGCCACTGGGATCTCACTCAAGAAGATCTTTCATTTAGGTTTTTTTTTCCCCCCCAGAGTGTCTTGGCTTTCCATGCCTAAAATACTCTTATGGGCTTTTCAGCCAGATCCGCATGCCTTAAGGGCTGATTCTGAGGCCAGAGTGCTGTTTAGGACATCTGCCATTCTATGGGTCTGCTGTGTATCTCACTTCCCATGTTGGATCATTCTCTCCCTTTTTGATTCTATCAGCTAGTGTTTGCAGATACTAGTCTTGTTTGTGTGATTCCTTTGGTTCTTAGTCCTATCATTATGATCAATTGTGAACAGAAATTGTTCACTGGGACTAGTGAGATGGCATTGGTACATGCCACCTTGATGGGATTGAATTGGAATCCCCTGGTATGTTTCTAACTCTACCGTTTGAGGTAAGTCAGCTTGAGCATGTCCCGAATTGCACATCTCTTCCCTCTCTTATTCCCACTCTTATATTTAACAGTGATCACTTTTCAGTTAAGTTTCCGCACTTAAGAAGAATTGTGTATTGATTACAGTAGGTAGGGTAGGTAGGAATGTTTTAATCGTGGTTCCAACCACCACTTCTACCTGATCCCAGCAAATGTCATTACATCCATGCTATATTCTTTCTTCACCTTCCATTTTCTCTTTCTCTATTCTCTTTTAAGAAAATCATATATATTCAAACATCAATGAATCAAGAACCAGGTGCTTTATGAGTACCAAGTGGAAATGGGGGAACTGGAAAGTGTGCATTAGGTGCAGATGGACTCGAAGGGGCTGATGGGACCTTTACCTGGTCCAGTGTTCTGCTGTCATTAGGGCAGGTCTTGATTGAGCCAAATGAGCCTCAATTTGTGTTTTAAGCACTTAAATTTCCTTCAGTAGTCACATTCAGTGGCTAATGTTTCCTGCTTTAGAAATGGTAAGCCTAAACTTTGCTAAGACAACCCACTTTCCAGCTTCTTGCTTTTTGATTTTTATTGACATTTCACTTTTTCACTTATAAATTCCAGTGTTACACCTTGTACCCTCAAGAGCTTTTGTTTTCCATTTAATCAGTTTTCCAAAAGAACACGTTCTTGAGAATTTATACTTCCCTGTAATCAGGTCTTCCCTTTATTTTCAGATATCCTCCTTTTATTTGTGTTATTCATTATTTGCCTCAGGAAGTATTTAATATTTTTATTTACCCTCGCTTGAATTAGATTGTGATTTATTGCGCAGGACGAAGTCTGTAGAATAAACTTATACCCAGACAGTGCCGTATTTGGGGATGCTAAAGGTGTAGATCTATTACTCTGAGTTTAATTTCAGTTTTTACCAACTTTGGAGACAAACTTAAAAAGGTTGAGAGAGAATGACAATAATGTGAAAGACAGTGGTTTCTGGCATTAGATACATCAAGGAGCTCATTTTAATTTTTGGAGACTGGGAAGGATGGGGGAGAGAAGCATTTTTTAAAAAAAATTATTTATTTACTACTTACTTACTTATTTCTTTATTTGAAGGGCAGGGCTGGGAGTGGGGGGGGAGTGGAAGATATTTTTCATCTGCTACTCACTTCCAAAACAGCCGCAACAGCTGGGTCTGGGCCGAAGTCTGGAACCTAGAACTCCATCTGTCTCCCACGTTGGTGCAGGGGTCCAAGCACTTGGGCTATCCTCTGCTGCTTTCCCAGGCACATTATCAGGGAGCTGGATTAGAAATGGAATAGCCAGGACTAACTGGCACCCAAAAAGGAAAACGGTGTCACAGGCAGTGGCCCAACCTGCTGTTCCACAACGCCAACCCCCAGAATGATTTTTAAATAGAATGTTTGAATTTTGTTTTTCATCCAGGTGAAATCCACATGAACAAAATTCAAGGATTCAGAATCAATTGGTTTCACAGAAAGATCATTTAAATTTAACTATAAATGATACAATAAATAGTTGGAACTAGCTACTAACTAAACATTAAAAATAATGAGGACACAGCACCATTGGCCTAAATTGGAAATAGCCATCCTTTCATCCTATTGTATACAGGCACTTCACAAACTCATTTAATGTTCCTGTGAAAATGAGATCCCATTTTACTGATGTGAAAATTAAGGCTCAGTGTATTTTTTTTTTTAAAAAAAAAAAAAAAAAAAAAAAAAAAGCCCTTTGGCTGGCCAAAGCCACATGCTTTGTAAATGCCAGAGCTAAGCTAACATTCTTCCCAGTCTCACTTCATGGACTGCAGAGCTCAGCTACTCACCAGCTGCATGAGTTAGGGGATTCTCCTAATCCACTATGCTTCAGTTTCCTTACCTGTACAACATAGCGTCTGGATTAGGAACCACATAGTCTAAAGACAGCCCTTGTAGCTTAACATTGTAGGAGCATAAGGAGGGTGTGTAAGGATTGTAAGGATTGGTTGCTTATGAGCCAATCAGAGGTATCAAATAGACACCTCCCTATCTGGCCAAGGTAGGAAGGGGAGGGCAAAAGTTTAAAAAAAAAATCTTAAATGAGATCTCTATAAAACCTGTGTGTTTCCAAAGACCTGTTGCATTTGGCAGCAGCTGCCTCACGCCAAGTTTCTGATATCTACGAGGACTCTCCTCTCCATAACTGTAAGTAAAGAACTTCCTTTGAATACCTGGACTGCACCAGTGAACAAGGGGTTAGTGACAGCACTAAGCCTGTAGAGGGAGAGGTCTCTTTGCTTTTGTTTTCAGGAAAAAAAAATTGTCGATGGCCGAAAACTTGCTGAATCTGTTGAAATGGATTTTTTTTTAAGTGTAAATGCTCCTTTGCTGCTTTCCTGGCTTTTTGAGTGGTTGCGAAATGCTTGAGATTGATTACCACTTACCTCTGTTAACTGCATGAGGTACACTTAAGTGTCTGGTCTGGACAAACAACAGAACATACCTATTTGGTTAGGTTCTGATCCAATGAGATCCCTATTAATTTCTACTTTCTCTTTTTTTAAAAAAAAAGTTATTTATTTTTACTTGTTTGAGAGGCAGAGAGACAGAAACAGATGATCTGTTCAGTGGTTCACTCAGCCAATGTCCACAACATCAGCCAGGGCTGGACTACAGTAAAGCCAGGAACCCGGAACTCAATCAGGATTTCCTGCATGGGTGGCAGAAATCCAAGTATTTGAGCCATCACCTGCTTTCTTCCAGGAAGCTGGAAGGAGAGTAGAGCTGGCACTCAAACCCAGGCATTCAGAAATGGGATGCAGAGGCATGCCAAGTGGCATCTTAACTGCTGTACCCCTGCTTTCTCTTCTCATAACAACTAATTTCAATTGTTTATTTACATATCTTTTGCTTCATGCTGTTTTCTGCATTCTTGTCCCACACCTGCTGGTACAAGCACTGAAGTTGCTTTGTTACATAAATGAATCCTTGTAGTGTTTTGCCCCTGGCCTTCACCCATGGCTCAAAGGAGGAAAAGGAACAGGATAGGAAGCTTCACAGAGCGGAGTCACCATTTGAGTATGAGTTTCAAACATGCCACTTGTTTCATGCCTTCTGTAACACTTGTTACAGTAGATACTGGGAAAACTAGATAGCTTAAGACATCAGGAATCAACAGCTGTTGATTTACTGTGGTACATTTCTTACTATCTGGAAAATTGGCATATTGTAAAGATATGTTGTCTTCTTTTAACATAAACTTCTCTTTAAATAGTTTCCTAGAACTCCATTAAGCTACCCTGGATACAACAAGGGCTTGGGCTCTGCTGCCAAGGAATTCCTGACTTTGGCCAAAGCAAATCTGGGAGACACCAAGGTCCAAGTTAGAGTCAAGGTGTAGAGCAGGGAAAGGGATGTAGTAGCTGGAAACCCGAGTTCCTTTGTCTTAGGTGCCAGTTTAGAGGGAAGAGCAACACTCAAGTTTCTTTCTGGGGTACTCTACATGTACTCAAAAGCACAAGGAGTCAGACTTCCCTGTGTCTTCCCTAAATCATTTCAATGCACTTGTCACTGTTGCATGCATCCATAGAAGCAGTGCATTGCTGCATAAAGTGCATGGCAATCACAGGCTACCAATGAATACACCCTGTCCTACTGTTCTTGAAAATCCATCTGCCTTGTGTATGGCGAAACAAATGGACCCACTGCTGCCTTCTATTTCTCCAGAGCTTAAATATCCACATTTTATAAATTACTGGATATTTTTTCGCCTCTTCAAGGAAGGCAGAAAGAACCATATTGCGTTCCAAATGTTATTTTGCTGAAGAAGTAGAAATACGATTCTAAATCAGTCAGATGTGACTTGCAATCCTAGAACATAACAACTTAGAAGAAACATAAGACATAGTCTCCTGGAAGCTCAATTTCCTCATCCCTAAAGTGGTTGAGTTGGCACATATCCACCTGAGGACCCCTTGTGGCTCTGTTTTCTATTGTTAACTTCTAGATTTGCATGCATATGTTTATTCATTAAGAAATCAAACATTACAATAATGTATAAAATGAAATGTGAGTTTCTCACCTGTATCCCATTCTCCAGAAGTAACCAAGAACAGCTACCCTTTGCTTATAGAGAGCCATAAGCAGTACGTATGTACACTACTTTTTTAATTTTAAAAAAGTGGATATTAAATATTGCATATTTCTCTGTAATTTTCTTTTTTCTCTCGCTCAAAAATATAATGTGAACAACTACCCATCATACTTTTAAAAAAATAGTTGATTCAAGCCTTCAGTGAGTGGAGTGTTAGGGCAAAGCAATCATTCTTTATCATTACCCATTCGAAGCTCTTGTATCCCAGCAGTGAACGTTGGCCTGTGACCATGTTTTATGATTAACAGAAGGACAACATTTGTGCTGATGTAGTACAGACCTTTAGTCCCTCTGTAGAAGTTTAACTTCCTGTAAACACCATTAGTTTGATTTGACTTTTCTGTTATTCTGATTAAGTCAGCACACCCAGACTTAAGAAAATAACTTGGTAGTGAGTAGAAACATGGAGATCCCTTATGTGATTATTTTTATTTAATTAAAAAAGACAGAAACAATAATATCTTGCATTTTCTTAATATCTTATAAAGTATCTTCATGGTTATCATGCTGTTCAACAAATAAATTTTGAGTAGTTACAAGGAGCACAGTGCTCACAGAGTGCATTTGAGTCACATTGGCCACAAGAAAACCAGAGTAGATAGCAAGGAACTTCAAAAAGTTTGTGGGAAAGTGTAATTAAAAGATCAGCTTATTTGGGTACAAAAAATTTGAAATCCTGCATAATTTTTTATGATATTCATTTTCCTTGGCTTTTTGAAAACTCCTTTTATGTATTCATTTCAAAATCTTTTGCTTCAGCAAACATCTTTTAATTCTGTATTCTATGAAACATTTCAAAATACCTTCATATTATCACCATTTAATTAATAGTAAGCCTAGGGCTCAAAGAAGTTAGTAGACTTGCTCAAGGTTCTAGCTCAGGGTTCTGGGGCCCAGGTCTGTCTGATCTACAGGCAGCAAGTATCTTTGTTAATATTTCAGGTGTCTGTGAATTGGTAATGTCAGCAGTGCAGTGATGCAAAATCCAGAGTACTCTGGGGGGTGTCTTTAGGGACACTAGATATCATCCAAAAGTGATTTCCTTCAACAAGCTTACTGCCCCTTTGAATGGAGAGGAGTACTAATTCTGCCTCAACCCAGATTGTACTAATTGTCCTTGGGCAAATAATGTAAACTCTCTAGTATTCTTTCCTAATCTGTTAAATGGGAGGGGAATGGCACTCAAAGTGCATCAAATGAGAGTTGAGGTATCCCTGGGCTTCCAGAAATTCATCCTTAGGCATGAGGCATCCATCCTGTGTGAAGTTGTTATTATTAGACTATTTTTTCTATTTGTTTCATTAGAGAAAGATGTTTATCTTCTAGTAATTGTCGACTGTTGGATGCATCTCCAACACCAAAGTGAGAGCCCTGTGAGCCTACATTTTCAAGACTTATCCAAAGTTGCAGCCTATCAGCAATGATCCCCTCAAAGCACCACTGCTGTGGAGGTCTTGGGGCCAGTCTCTCCTTGCTAAAACATCAAAATTAAGAAGTACTAGAGCTGGGATTGTCATATGATTTCAGCATCCTCTGAGATCACAAGAATCCCCAGTCCAGAGGCACTTAAGAAAAATCCTCCCTGGTCTTCTCCGAGTGGTCTTATAGATGACTACATATTAAAAAGGAGATGAAATTTCACACTCAATCTTTTTTTAAAGATTTATTTATTTGAAAGGCAGAGTTACAGAGAGGAGGGGGCAGAAGCAGAGAGAGAGAGAGAGAGAGAGAGAGAGAGAGATCTTGCCGTCCGCTGGTTTACTCCCCAAGTGGCCACAATGGCTGGGGATGTGCAAGGCTGAAGCCAGGAGCCAGGAGCTTCTTCAGGGTCTCTCATGTGATTGCAGAGGCCCAAGCACCTGGGTCATCTTCTACTGCTTTCCCAAACACATTAGCAGGGAGCTGGATTGGAAGTGGAGCAGTTGGGTCTTGAATCAGCACCCATATGAGATGCCACATAGAAGGAAGTGGCTTTACCTGCTAAGCCACAACACTGGCCCGTACTCCACCCTCTATGCCCTGAAGTCAAAGGGAGATAATTTCAAGCTAAGTATAGATTTCTCCTCTCAAGCTTGTTGCCTGAAGAATAATCTTCTGGGACTAGAGGATAACATCAATGTTGAGAGTAACTGCAAAAGTCCCAAGTTTCATTATCTTGCCCAGGGCACCCAATGGCTCCAGAATTGACAGACTAGAGATAGTGCATTACTGCAGTTCCCTCTATTTGTCAGGTTTCAATGAGTCACTAATCCATTGGTTCCATCTCAGGATCAGTTATCCCAAAGTTCTCTGGGAAAGGATTCTATTTAGGATTACCGTGAACATTTGATATCTCATTCTGGCTAATTGTAACTACTTAAATGAGGGCAGAAAAAAGAAAGAAATCTTAATGATTTATTTGTGAAATGAGCTGAAAGTATTCAAGGAGCCTGCTTGATATGTCTGCCCATCCCAACTTTCTTGGTCATGAACCTATCTGAACCACCTATGGTTCTGTGCTTACTCTCCTGTGCTCTCTTCCAGACCTGTCACCATGGCCCACCGATTTCCAGCCCTCACCCCAGAACAGAAGAAGGAGCTCTCGGATATTGCCCAGCGCATTGTTGCCAATGGAAAGGGCATCCTGGCTGCAGATGAATCTGTAGGTGAGTGTGAAAAATAGTCACATTGTACAATAGCACACTCTTTCTTTCTTCACTTAACAAAAGCAGTTATATTATCCTGCCTCCCTGAATGGGAGTAGAAGACTGAGCAAGCCTAGGCCTTTCCAGTCCTGTAGTTCCAGGGGGCAGATTCCTGCCAACCAATGGAAGAGACCTTCCATTTTAAGGTTGCTTGCCAGAAGTCTTTTGGATGCAACCTATAGCAAAGCTAGGAACTCATTGAGCAGGGTGACGTCATATATGCCTCTGCTGCTCATAGGAAGTCAGTGTAAAGTCAGCCAAATTAGGAAGGGTGAGGAATATCTGCAATTAGAATAGTGCAGGATTTATGGCTAAGAAAATCCTGGGTGGCACAGGGAGAGCTATGGCAGGCTTCCCCAGTCTTTCATAAAATGACGCAAGCCAGAAAAGTCACAAGCATGCCCTTTTCCTCCTTCTACTATATGTATGATAAGTGAAAGTGAGGATCAGGGCCAGAGAACCCCATGGTGGTTTCTTCCTTGAGTAATGCATACCCAGCCCATATACCACCTAATCAGCATCCTTGACAGCAACTAAGGCCTTCCTTCTTCTCCCTGAGAGACAAAAAATGAGGCAGGAATTAGGAAGATTTGAATTAAAAAAAAAAAAAAGAGCTTTGTTTTCCATCCTGATGAGGATTGCTGAGATGGTGTAATGAAGGGTGATAGGGAATCCCTGGCTTACTCCTGATGCTGTTTTTGGCCCATCCACCTTAGGAACAATGGGAAACCGCCTGCAGAGGATCAAGGTGGAAAACACTGAGGAGAACCGCCGACAGTTCCGAGAAATCCTCTTCACTGTGGACAATTCCATCAATCAGAGCATTGGGGGTGTGATCCTTTTCCATGAGACCCTCTACCAAAAGGACAGCCAAGGGAAGCTGTTCAGAAACATCCTCAAGGAAAAGGGCATTGTTGTGGGAATCAAGGTGAACACTTCATCAGCACCTCACCTGTGCCTCGGCTTGGGCCAACTCCAAGTGCACTGGCTAGGGCAGGGACAACACTCTGGACATTTTCATCATCTAATTTCTCACTCTTCCACCTTCATCTTCCCACTGAGAACCACATCCTCTTCTAGACTTTTCTTCCAATGACTTCTACTTCAACTAATGTTTCCCTAAGGCTCTTCGTCTCTCTTCATCTTAAATTTCCTCATTGCTTAAAATAAGATGAAATGAATTTTTTAAAAGTTTCTATCATACAATAATTGTTGATAATAGTCACTATTATTATTAAAGCACTTACTTTTTTAAGTTGTCTTCCAAGACTGCTCAAGAGTGAAAATCAATATCCTTCTCAAAATCTCTAGGAGTAGTTAGTGGGAGTGGCATAACTTGCCACACATCAGAGCAAAGTTAGATCTAATTTGAATGCAGTCCATCACTGGGGCTCATGACCTTGCTCTGCTGTAGAGTCTTCATCCTTATTCTCTTCGCAACTGTGCTAACACAATGCTGATATGTACAAGAGCCCAGTACATGTCAGGATTGACACTCTCTCTCACACTGTTCCTTCCCGCTAACTTCCTTTCTGCTATGGACTGAACTGTGACCTCTCAACAATTAGTACATCTCTCTAGTTCAACTTCTTGGTTTGTGAAAGATGAGAATTCTTAGCAAGCATCAGGAAATCTGCTTGTGTTGTACTGGCATCTGACACTTGCTAATTACTTGTTAATTATTTGTATCCACAGTTAGACCAAGGAGGTGCTCCTCTTGCAGGAACAAACAAAGAAACCACCATTCAAGGTAAGGATATTTCCCTCTGATATGAATCATGCCAAAGATGTGAGAGTTCTTTATAAAGTTCAGGGAAAACAGTTAAAAATTTTGCTTATATTTTGGCCCAAAAAAGTTTGAAAGTCATGAAGTTTTTTCATAATAACATTTCCCATGAACTTTTTGAAGATCCCTCATATTAGACATAGAGTGCTTACCATAATACCTTGCACAGAGAAGATACTCTGTGCCTGAAACTATCAATTTTAGAGAAAAACCCAGCTATAGTAGACAGGAAAGGATCTACACTTTAGGATCAGAGACCTTGGTTTGAATCCTAGTTCCATCATATGCAACTTAAACAATTTTGCAAGGTATGTCACTGACTAAGCAGACAGGTACTGACCACAGCTTTGGGTTAGAAACAGAATTTGAATCTAGCTTTGTCACTCTTCAGCTGTTCAAATTTGGTAAAATCAAATAAACACTTCAGAGCCTCAGGTTTCACATCTATAAAATGAGTATCATTTTAACCATCAGCTCCTCCTGTTTTACTTAAGGAGTACTCACAATGTACATCAAAACCATGTTTTTTAAATCTAGGTCTTTTGGCCAGCATTGTGATTAGTGCTTATTTGCTTGGGCATTTTTCAGTTCTCAAGGTTTGTGCAATGAAAGCTAGGACAAGGTGGAACTTCAGTTTATCAGAGACCTCATTGTAAAGTCAGGTGCAGTGGTACAAAGAAGCCTTTCTCTCTTTTGTGATTTGCAGGGCTTGATGGGCTCTCGGAGCGCTGTGCTCAGTACAAGAAAGATGGTGTTGACTTTGGGAAGTGGCGTGCTGTCCTGAGGATTGCTGACCAGTGTCCATCCAGTCTTGCTATCCAGGAAAATGCCAACACCCTGGCCCGCTACGCCAGCATCTGTCAGCAGGTGCTTTGCCTTCCCTTTGGGCTAAAAACCAGTAGACTAGATTTTTCTTCAAAGCCAATTTTTATATGAGTGTTCCTCTCCCCCTCACCAGTATATGCTGGTGGCATTTTTGACGACTTTTGCTGTATTCAAGTATGGTAAGGAAGATTTGTTTGGTCCCACAAAGCCAGTAGGGATCTCCCATTAAGAAGTAAATTCAAAGATCACTGCAATTAGCTGCTGCCCTCTGACAAAGCTTTATAAGCCAAGTCTTAAAAACGACAAGGCTGATGAGGCCAGGCACTTGCTTGTCTATACTACATAGCCTCTATGACCCTCTTAGGCTGTTAGCTAGAGGGTGATATCTCTGATCTTGTCCCAATTCACATACTTTCTTGGAAGATGATGACTTGATGCCAAAGTTTCACATCTGCAAATGTTGAAATGTGATTTGCTTTGGTGGGTACAATGCTGGGGTGACTGAAATTGTAGGCATCTGGAAATTCCCAGTTAAAACTATAAACACTGCTTGAATTCCTTAATTAACTTATACTACAGGCATCTTTCTTAGTGACTTAAGCTTGAGTGCCCTAAAAGGATAGCAGCTAGATTCTGGGGTGGCTACAGTTGTCTCTAGAAGAGGGTTTCTATTTAGTCTTTTACTGCATTCCGATAAAAACATTTAAAAAAAAAATAACACTGTTATCTTCTGGCTAAACCACAGACGTTCACTAGAGATGCCATCAATTTCTTTTCAACAGCTCTAAATCATTTACATACTCTTTCTCCATGAGGGTTTCACTTTAATATCAATCACAACTGTTGAATCTCATCTTCGGAAAGGATTACCGCTTTGGAAAGGATACAGCTTCACTCTTACTCCTCCCTCCCCCCTTTTTCTCTTTAGAATGGGTTGGTACCTATTGTTGAACCGGAGGTAATTCCTGATGGAGACCATGATCTGGAACACTGCCAGTATGTCACTGAGAAGGTAAGTTAAATTTAAAAGTTCCAATTCTATTTGGAAAAAAACAAATCTTGTTTTGTTGTAACAGCTGTTACTTAACATATAACAGCTATTATATTTCAAATAGCCTTTAGTTTAGAATCATAAGGTAGCACTGAGAAGCCAAAGGGTGCTTATAAATCTTTCACTTATTTTGGCACCTGGTATGCTCCTTATGGAAGAAGCACGAGAGTTTCAGCACCAAGACTTGGCTTGGAGAATTTGCTTTTCTACCTGTGATACCTGGAACAAGTCATGTTATCTTTTGGACCTCAGTTCCATTAGGTTTACAATATATAATATTAAAATAGTGCATGAGGCTCACATAAGAAAATTTAATTAGAAAATACTTTATTCACACACATAAGAAAATTTAATTAGAAAATACTTTATTCACATTTGACTTTTTAAATTAGCCACAGTATTTCTGAAAGAGGGTGATTCTCCTCAAACAATATGAGAAACCAAGAAATTCATAAGTCTCCTGACCTCAGTTTTTCTGCTTGCAAAATTATGTGGACTTAAATGAGATTTGAAAGCACATCTGTCTCTAAAATGTATGTTTTTATTTTTATTTATTTTTTTATTTGAAAGTCAGAGTTACACAGAGAGAGAAGGACAGGCAGAAAGAGAGAGAGAGAAAGAGAGAGAGGTCTTCCATCTGCTGGTTCACTCCCTAATTGGCCATCACGGCAGGAGCTGTGCAGTCTGAAGCCAGGAGCTTCCACCAGGTCTCCCACTTGGGTGCAGGGGCCCAAGGACTTGGGCCATCTTCTACTGCTTTCCCAGACCATAGCAGAGAGCTGGATTGGAAGTAGAGCAACCAGGACTTGAACTGGCACCCATATGGGATGCCAGCACTGCAGGTGGCAGGTTTACCCACTATGCCACGGCACCGGCCCCAAATGTATGTTTGTATGATCACACAGTTCCTATGGGGATGGAGGGTGGAGGCCAGTTTTGGTTTCGTCAACTAGCTAAATACATGCATGCTTAACAGGAGATGACTACGACCAAGAGTTTGATGGGAAGAAATAGAGAGCAGAGCTATGTCCCTACTTCATGCAATAGAGTGGCTAGATTAATGGTGTTAAAGATAGGCAGCTTGGTTGTGCTCAGTGGTTTGCAACACATTGATTGCCCTTATGAGGTCTTGAGGCTGGTCCAGGAGCTTTGGCCTAGCCACTTATGGAAATTCCTTCCTCTTGTATTTCTGTAGTTTAGAAATATTTTCAAGGTCAGTTGACTCTAAGACTCTGAGATTCACCTGATTGAACTTCCTGTCCTTCAGGTTCTGGCTGCTGTCTACAAGGCCCTGAATGACCATCATGTTTACCTGGAGGGCACCTTGCTGAAGCCCAACATGGTGACTGCTGGACATGCCTGCACCAAGAAGTATACTCCAGAGCAAGTGGCTATGGCCACTGTCACAGCTCTCCATCGCACCGTCCCTGCAGCTGTTCCCGGTAGGGCCTTCTTTCTTCTCTAACTCTAGGTCTTAGCTCTATTTCTTTGAAAGAATGATACAGCAATTGCGTTTGTCCAAGAGTCAGCTTCTATCTAAGAAACAGAGCTTACATCTCACAGGCAGCCAGCACGTCCCCTCCCACTCCACAAGGCCAAGTATTCTAAGTCTGTCTCAATGCACACAAAACATTTATTTTGTCAACACTCCACAGCCTTCTTTACTTATTAATGTCCTCCTTTCCTTAACCCAACTGGCCTCACCAAAGCAAACTGATTTCTCCACTCCAGTCCCCTGCAAATCAAGCAAAGAAAAGATTGAGACGTTACATTTCTTTTAGGCTCATTGTTTGCTTTCTCAAGCAGGGGACGAAAGCTGGAACTGATACAGTGGAATGCTTTTCTCTTTCCAGGCATCTGCTTTTTGTCTGGTGGCATGAGTGAAGAGGATGCTACTCTCAATCTCAATGCTATCAACCTTTGTCCTCTTCCAAAGCCCTGGAAACTCAGTTTCTCTTATGGACGGGCCCTACAGGCCAGTGCACTTGCTGCCTGGGGTGGCAAGGCTGAAAACAAGAAGGCAACCCAGGAGGCCTTTATGAAGCGGGCTGTGGTAAGATCCTACTACCGCATATCCTCTTGATCAAGTTGATACTTGGGGCGTGGCTTTCTTGCATTTTCTTTGGACCCTAAGGTCTGAATGGGTATTTGAAAATGTAGCATGAAAGCTCAGTAGGAAGCTTGGAGCCAGAGAAAGTTTTGATTTATCCACACTGGTGGTATAGTCAATGAAACTAGATGGAAGGACAATTTCAACAGAGACTTCAGAGGGAAGAGGGACAAGGACTAATAAGCCTTGGACATCGTTAATTTTGGGGAGATCATGAAAATCCGCCAAGAAGAGCAGCAGTTATATAATAGTATGAACCAAGCATTCTGGGAACAAATAGAAACAGGTTTCCAGGGGCTAGCGATAACAGACTACAGAGAGATTCAAAACCAAGTCCAAGAAGACACACTGGGATTGGCTCTTGGGAGTATATGAATGAGTCTCATCAGAATGGTTTCAATAGAGAGAAAATAAAAGTGCCTATTCAAGAAGTTTCTTAGGAAAAGATTCAGAAAGATTACCAGGAGAAATGAAGACAAGAAGAGGTTTTTTCAAGTTATAATCATTAGCTTTTTAATACTCTCTACAAAGCTAGGTGAACAAATCAGAGCCAGTGTCTTCAGGGAGTGTGAAGTTTAGCCAACCAGGACAGAGCTTGTCATGTTTCAAAATAAGGCAAAAGATCCAGAGGAGAGAGTCAAGATGTAGAGGAGGAATTATCATATACAGGATTGCATGGGACTAAATATTAAATATGGGTGGCATAGTTGGTCTTTGAAGGAGACAAAAGGAGGGAAGAGAGAAAAGAAGAAAGAGAATGGGTTTGGAGGTAGCTCTGTAGTGGTGAAGACATGTAGCAGTTGGTCACTGATTATACTGTACAGTATCTGCTTAGGGTAATCAAGACATGTCTGAATCCTGACAGCAGGGAAGGTTAGATGAGCTGTTGAAGAAATCTACTAGGAAACTTACCATATGTTTTGCTGAGACATTTTAGTAGAGTGTCAAGGAAGGTGTAACTGCAGTGAGAGTGAGTTTGTAGTACACCCAGCTGAGTTTCTGAATTTTCCTAACCGTTCTCTAAAGCACACAGGAAGAGTCAGATAAACCTGAATGGGAACTAGCAGGGTGGAAGAATAGTGGATTAATAAGACAGGCGAGCGCCAACTTTTCATGATAGCTTCCTGATCATAAAGGAGGCTGGACCAGGAGTTGGGTGTCATCAGAGGTCTGGTGATGAGGCTCCAATGGAAAGGAGGGCCTCAGGGAAATCTTTCTCAGGGGCCCTAGAGAGGGTGAGATTTTAGAGGTGGTGCTTTACCTGGATAATGAAAAGCTCTATTTCTTTGAAAGAATGATACAGCAGTTGCATTTGTCCAAGAGTCAGCTTCTATCTGAGAAACAGAGCTTACATCTCACAGGCAGCCAGCACGTCCCCTCCCACTCCACAAGGCCAAGTATTCTAAGTCTGTCTCAATACACACAAAACATTTATTTTGTGTACTGTACTGTACTGCTGTGTGGCTGATGGAGTTGGGAGATGGAGCCTGTCTGCTAGAGGAATTAGGAAGTGCGGGTCAGAAGGGCCATCTCTGCAGAAGGAAAGCTGAGTTTGTTGTCTAGGACAGTGGTTCCCAAACCTGGGTGAGTCCATTTTAATGCACTGGTTAAAATGGGGGTTGCTGGGCCCAGCCACTGGGTTTCTAAGTCAGTACATCTGAGGTGAGGTCAGAGAATTTTCATTTCTAACAATTTGTTAAGTGATGCTGACGGCCTGTGAAACACACTTTGAGAAGCACTGATCTAAGATGTAGAAATAAGTCCTGGGGAGTACAGACAGTAGCAGCTGTGGCTGGTAGAAGAGGAAGTGGTATCAGAGTGGCATTTGAATACAGTCAGGCACCACATGACCCTGATGGCATTTCAGTCAGCTGTGGACTGCATGTGTGATGGTGGCCCTGTAAGATTACATCACCTAGTAACATTGTCACCATCTCAGTTTGTATAGTTTCCCTATTATGTTTGCACGATGATATAGTCAGATCAAGATGTGGTTCTCAGAACATGTCTCCATCATTGGGCGATTCATGATTGTATGAATAATTGTGATTCATAATCCTGAATTTACCTTTAATTGAAATTTATGAAGGAAACAAGAATGATACTTTCATAAAATCTACATAACAATTACATATTCTTATGGACAGATATAGATAGAAAATGGAAAAAAATTAAACATGCTTTTTTTTTGCTTTAGTGTACAGTTTCTCCACTTTAACTTCTAGTACTGTTTTATTGTTGGTACTAAAAAGAGACTTCTCATTAACTGACACAATCTCAGTCTTGCCAAGGAAATTATCAGAAAACTAGGGTAAAACAAGATAACATATTATAAAAGGAAAATGATGGTATTAGCAGCAATATCAGCAATACCTGTGTGAGGAGACAAGCAGTCTAAATACATGAACGTGTATTGGTTTCATTTGAGAGGTGGAGAGGGCCAAGTATAGACTGTACTTACTCTAACTGTGTTTCCTCTTTTACACTTGGTCTTTCTAGGTCAACTGCCAGGCAGCCAAAGGACAGTATGTTCACACAGGCTCATCTGGGGCTGCTTCAACCCAGTCACTCTTCACGGCTTCCTATACCTACTAGGACCTGACTCCAACCAGCCTGGCCTCAGCTCTTCTAGGTGTCTTAGCAAGAGGGCTTTCATTTGGCCCTGGAATTAGACTAAATCAAGCAGGAACTTCTGGAAACACAACACATTTTAAATCTTAAACATGAGAGGAAAAAGTAAATCAGTTATTGGCATATATATATACAAATATTAAGAATCTGATGAAATTTCACACAATAGTTTTTTTACAACAGTTCCTGCTCTCCATGCTCCAGTGCATCCAGCCAAGAAAACAATAGGCTTTCAAACAAAATCAGCTTTCCAACCACAATGACAACTGCCTAGTGAAATCCCTGCAAAGCTCGGGGCGAGAGTGAGTTTTATGAAACAATTTTAGCAGGAGTAGGTTTTGATGGAGACAGCTGCAACTGAAAAAGAAATAAACTGTTCTATAAACCTTCAGCTGGTGTTGGGTTTCACTTTTCTGCTCTTACTGTTGAAATATATTTCATTATCTAGCACTCTACTAGATGCGACTAGCAGTAATTGTCAGGATCCTCAGCTTCGGCTACTCATTAGAATCTAATAGCAAAATTCAAAGCACCCAGATGCTCAGGACATACCCCAGCACAATTAGAGCAGAAAACTCTAGATGTGAGATCCTCTGTCATATTTCTCACGGCTCCCTTGGTGATTCTAATGTGTAGCTAAGCTTGCGAACTACCGATCTAAATTTCAAGTGTGGAATATTTGAAAATTAATACCATTGGTAATGTGAAGCCAGCTAAAATGTGGAATGATTTTGAGCAGTTTGTGACGTGTGAAATGAGAATGCATGTGACTTTGGTATTTGGAGACTTTCTCTTCAAATGCCCAGGTTTGATGACACAAGACAATGTTTTCCTCGACACATCTAAGCACGCTATCTGGTGTTCACATAATTACACTATATTGGCTTTCAATTTTTTAAATTTACTTTTAGATGAATCATTTAAGATAACCATACTTACAAAAGACAATTTGAGCCTAACTTTGGACAACATACTGATTTAACTGACAGAAGTTGAGAAATATAAAAAATAAAGGAATGAAGAAGTAGAGGAAAGCAAAAGGAGTTAGGAATGCTGTTTAAAATTGATGGGTTAAGATATAGTGCTTAAAATTTATTAAAGTAATAAGATAAATGGATATAAATCATTAAAAATATGTGTGGGGCCAGCATTGTAGTGCAGTGGGTTAAGCTGCTGCCTACAATGCTGACAACCTTGTAAGAGCTCTGGTTTGGGTCGCAGCTACTTCCACTTCTTTCTCGTCTTCCTCCTCCTCCTCCTCCTTCTCTCTGTCTCCCTCTCCCAACCCCTTCCCCTAGCCCTGACCATCATGCCATTTGGGGAGTGAATAAATGGATAGGCAATCTCTCTCCTTCTATCTGTAAATCTACATTTAAAATAAACCTTTTTAAAAATATATGAATGTAAATTAAAATATATTTATAATTAAAATATGGAAGATAAACTAAATTCGTTGTCTTTAATAGTACACAGATGATATTCCTTAGAATGGTTAAATTAAAAAAATAGAAGCAGAAGTATGTTATCTAGAGAATAAGACAGAATTGGTCCAAAGGAGAGCAGTCTTCTATCTTCTGGTTCACTCCCCAAATGGCTGCAGTGGCCAAGGCTAAACCAGACTGAAACCAGGAGCCAAGAGCTTCATCCGGGTCTCCCACGAGGATGCAGGGGCCCATGCACTTAGGCCATCTTCCTCTGCTTTCCCAGGCACATTAGCACGGAGTGGATCAGAAGTGTGAGCAGCTGGAACTTGACCCGGCACCTATATGGGATGCCAGCATTGCAGGCAGTGGCTTAACCCACTATGCCAGAGTGCCAGCCCCATAATAACTTTTCTAAAAGTAACTATATGCATATACACAATTCTGACTTATCTTAGAATCATTTCATTTAACCAGCGGATTTCACTTTACATATGATGAAACCAAGCCCAGAGCAGTTAAATCACTTGGCAAGGGTTACACATTTAGGGTAGAGCTGAGGGACTAGAATTCAGGTCTCTTTTTCATACAGTGGACACATAGCCAGGGAGATAGGTAGGGGCAGGGTTCTAGACAGTGTTCAATAACTGCCACCAACATTGAAGGTCTTCTAACCTTGTTATGCTCATCAAGTCAGTGAGCAGGTGTTTGAATTCTTACCATGTGCCAAGCCATCCTAAAGCTTAGGCAACACCTCATGTGACACTGATCTTCTGCGAGGAAATCTTTATATACAGCTTACTCAGTATCACTGAAACTATGCTGTAAGGACATCGCTGAGATTCTCATTTATTGGTAAGCATGAATTTAAAATCATCATTGAGTTATTTATGTTTTCTGGTGGACTGAATTACATTTCACTGGGGGGAAGAGGATTTGCATTTTCCTTAGTCACCATCTGATTTATTGCTCCTACTGAATGACTGCAGAAGTCATTGAAATATCAATCCGAGTGCTTTCCTCCACTCAGTATACTATGAAGTGTCACGAGGCACACACTTTAATTTCTATTAGCTGTGTGATCACTGGGTAAGTTATTATTAAAGACAAAGATCACTGGGCAAGTGCATTAATGGCTTTCTAGCTTTGGTAAGTTTGTCAGACTTATTGTTGTAGTTATTGAACATCTGCTAAAGGTATAACCTTGTACTAGACACATAGCATATTTAAGAGAAGGTTCCACTTTAAGGGAGTCATTGTAGCTGCATACCAGGTGATTAAGTTTAAATAGCTAGGCAGGAAACACACACACTATTGAATGAGGGTTGCTAAGTGAGGAGGGAGTCTGATCAGATGTCTGAGTGTAGAAAAGGAGATGACATTTAGGTTAGACATCACAGGATAACAAAAGCAAGGGAAACTCTTGGAAAAGAAACTGACAGGGGCTGGTGCTGTGGCGCAGTGGGTTAAGCCATAGCCTACAGTGCCCCCATCCCATATGGGCACTGATTCAAGTCTCAGCTGCTCCACTTCCAATCCACCGCCCTGCTAATGCACCTGGAAAAGCAAAGGAAGATGGCCCAAGTTTTTGGGCCCCCGCGCCCATATGGGAGGCCCATAAAAAGCTCCTGGCTCCTGGCTTTGCCTTGGCCCACCCCTAGTCATTGCGGCCATTTGGGAAGTGAACCAGCAGATGGAAGACCTCTTTCTCCCTGTTTCTCCTTCTCTCTGTAACTCTGCTTTCAAATAAATAAATCTTAAAAAAAAAAAAAAAAAAAAAAAAAAAGGAACTGACGATGCAAGAAAATACCTCAATCAGCCACTGGGAAAAGATGATACTTTGAGAGAATAAGTACCAAGAGCCAAGGCCACCCCCCCCCCCGCCCCCAAAAAAAGACTAAAGGTTAGAAAGGGGGAAAAAAACACAAGAAGGTTGCTGTTCTGAAGAGGGAGAGGGAGAGAAGGGAATGAAAAGCAGGGAAATGAGAGAAGAGAGAGGGAGAAAGGGCAAAGAGGAGGCAGGGAGAAGCTAGGGTAATATGTAACTGGGGGGAGGAGAGCGAAGGACTTTTTTTTTTTTTTTTTTTTTTGGACAGGCAGAGTTAGACAGTGAGAGAGAGACAGAAAGGTCTTCCTTCCGTTGGTTCACCCCCCAAATGGCTGCAACAGCCGGCACGCTGCGTCCATCCAAAGCCAGGAGCTGGGTGCTTCCTCCTGGTCTCCCATGCAGGTGCAGGGCCCAAGCACTTGGGCCATCCTCCACTGCCCTCCCGGGCCATAGCAGAGAGCTGGACTGGAAGAGGAGCAACAGGGACAGAACCAGCGCCCCAACCGGGACTAGAACCTAGGGTACCGGTGCCGCAGGTGGAGGATTAGCCAAGTGAGCCGCGGCGCAGCCAAAGACTTTCTTTTTTAAAAACGTTTATTTTAGGCCGGTGCCATGGCCTAAATAAATAAATCTTTTAAAAAGGTTTATTTTATTTATTTGAAAGGCGGAGTTACAGAGAGAGAGAAAGAGAGAGAGAGATCAATCTTCCATGGCTGGTTCACTCCCCGAATGGCTGCAATGGCAAGGCTGAGCCAAGCTAAAGCCAGGAGCCAGGAGCTTCTTCCAGGTCTCCCATGTGGGTGCAGGGGCCCAAGGACTTGGGCCATCTTCTGCTGCTTTCCCAGGCACATTAGCAGGGAGCTGGATCAGAAGTGGGCAGCTGGGACTGGAGTTGGTACCCATATGGGATGCCAGTGTCGCAGGCAGCAGCTTAGCCTGCTACACCACAGTGCCGGCCCCTGAAGGACTTTTTAAGAAAAGGGAGAACTATTAAGCAATCTAATGGTATGTCTTCCTGTGAGGAAGAGCTGAGTTTCATACGAGTCTGTCATGCTTTACAAAAATATGATACTGAGAGGATTTGAAACAATTTGTGATATGAATTAATTCAGCAGAAGCTAACGGTGTTGGTGAGAATATAAGAAACATGCTGGGGCCGGCGCTGAGGTGCACTAGGTTAATCCTCTGCCTGCGGCGCCAGCATCCCATATGGGCACCGGGTTCTAGTCCTAGTTGCTCCTCTTCCAATCCAGCTTTCTTCTGTGGCCTGGGAAGGCAGTAGAAGATGGCCCAAGTGCTTAGGCCCCTGCACTCGCATGGGAGACCAGGAAGAGGCACTTGGCTCCTGGCTTCGGATCAGCGCAGCTCTGGCCATTGCGGCCATTTGGGGAGTAAACCAACAGAAGGAAGACCTTTCTCTCTGTCTCTGTCTCTCTCACTGTCTGTAACTATGTCAAATAAATAAATAAAAATCTTTTAAAAAAAAACATGCAGAAATCTTGTATTGAGCTTTAGCCAAAGTATGAATGGTGCTCCAGTCCATCTGATTTAATCCCCCTGTGGTGAAAGGTGCCACCCAACAGGTGGATGTCACACAGAGCAACAGAGGAGGAAACTGAGGTCCAGTGTGCCTGGGAAATTCTCCAAGGTCTGACAACCAGTCAGTGACTTACGCCAGTGTGATCTGCAAAGTCCTCCCGGTTAAAAGCGCAGGTGCTAGAAGTAGACAGCCTGCATTCAAGTACCCTGCCACTGTCAGCCTTGTAGTCCTAGGAACATTACACAAGCTTTCTGTGGTTCAGTTTCTTTATTTCCAAAATAAAGTATATTATCACATACTGTTGAGAGACTAAATGTCTCATAAATCCCAGGTACAGGTTCACCATCCCTTATCCACAATTCTGAAATCCCAAAATCTCTGAAAACCAAATGTTTCCCAAGTTGGCAGAGAATTATTTGGTGGCAAAATCCAACTCAGGTCTATCATCTTCATTCCACTTGATGGGATACAGAGATATTAATGTGTTTGATTGTAGGTGCTGCATGGACCCTATGGAAGAAGTTATGCGTATATAATATAAGCACTATGTTTATTCTCTGAAATCTGAAAAATTCTGATTTTCAAAACATACATGATCTCCT